GTGCGTGTGTGTGTGTATTCGATTTTAACTTTGGCGCGAATTTTCGATTAATGAAATTCGCTTTACGGCAAATGTTTGTTTGAACGTAGACGAGTGGTGTGTGTGTGTGTGTGAGTGTGTGCTTGTGGCTAAGAGTGTATGTGAGTGTGTGTGTGTGTGAGTTGGTGTGCGAGGTCTGTTTACACATGTAGCAATGGCATCAGTTGCTCTTTGCTTAAACAGCCTTTAAGCCCTGCACATATGCAAATGCAAATGCGGATGTTTGCCATGAGAATCGCGCGCATTGCACCAACACCAACAACAACAACAACCACTCGTACAATATCAACTGCAAAAACAAACAAAAAAGAAGAATGGAAACATCAAACGAACAGTTGGATTCAATAGGACTATCAACGGTGGGCCCGGCGTGCAGAACTTGAATGTGAATCCGAATCTGAATGCGAGGGCGACTGCGAATGCGAATACGGCTCCATCGAACATTGAAAATCCGGCCGGAGCCAAACACTGACATCCGCCAGCAGAACGACAGCTGCGACATTGCCGGTGAGCTGGCTGGGCGAGAGGAGGGGAGTGAAGCGGTTCGGGAGGTGCCAGCATACATTGAGGACTTTTACCGTTACACTTTGCGGTAGGTTGGAAGCCGACTATGTGGGCGGCAAAGGCGGAGGCAGCAGCAGCACCGGCGGACGAGGGAACGGCAGCGTCATCGTCATCGTCGACGAGGAGGCTCGTTATGCAAATTTGATTGAAATGCTATGCTAACGATTATGTAAAAGTTTACATGGTTAAAACGATTTTAATATGACAGTTATGTTGTTGTCCCTGCTTCCTTTATTATTATTCTTATTTTTTTTAAATTTTCATTTGACACACAAGAAGTCGAACCAGGCCTATCCCGCTTCACTCTGCCCCTCAGCTCCAGAGGACTCATTGTTGTTGATTATGACAGGCAGAGGCACAGCCTCGATGCTATAGTAATGAGAAGGGAAGCAGTATGAGGAGCGACAGAGAGTGTGTGTGCCTGTGCCTGTGTCTGTGTGTGTGTGCGTGTGTGGTTGTGGTGGCATAGTCCGGGGTGTGGGCCCGAGTGGGGGCAGCGATGGGCGATTTGTGTGCGGTGCGTACCCCATTGCCGCTTAAATTGTTTGTTTATAAATAAAGCATGTGGCTATTGATTAAAATTGTGCTTTAAAAATTCATTGCAACAAAGATGTTAGGTTTGAATTGAATGGGGAATACGACCCCACATGCCAACCAGAGCTTGGGTCATTGTTGAAATGGAGCAGGCAAGATGGGGCGCTGAGTGCCAACAGCCAGTGGTTTTACACGCCCATGCACAAATTGAATACTACTCGTAATCCTTAGGCTCGAGTGTGAATGCAGCCGTGCGGCAAAAAAAAGAAGAAATAAGTCGGTACTGTACCGAAGGGTGACCAACGGCTATCGCTATCCCGGTGCAGCCAAGGTAGTACTTTAATCAGTGAAGCTACATAATTAACTTCGTACTAACTAATCAGAAAAATTAGTTATTCAATCGAGAAGTTTCCAGCAAGATGGGCTTTGATTTTCTAACAACAAATAGGTCTCTCTGATTAGTTAAGCTAATGTGTAGCTTTTTTTTGCAATTTCTGACTACAACGTTTGGATTACGCGTATGTACAGTATATTTAGGAAGAGTTTCTATGCAAATATCGATATATATTTACATAAGTAAGTACGTTCATTAAACTCACATGCTTAATTTAAATAGATCAGACATAGATCTAAGCTTAAAACAGATTGCAACGCTTATGCAAATACATCTGTAGTTATAAGTTATTACATATATTGGCTATTAAGGCGATAATTTTGAGAAAGCTGTTGGCGATTAAGTAAGAAAGAGTCACATTTAAAACTTCTCAATTTCAAATAATAAACAGCAAGCTCATTATGGGTATATTCAATTTATGAAATTGGTAAGCAGTTTTCTGACAAAAGAAATTTTCTTTTGGTCCATTTCCCTGTCATTATTTCTTGGATTCTTCCCCCTGTTTTACGTTTTCTCTTTTCCTACGATCTTCTAAATTCTTTTGGCAGAAGTCAATTAGTGTTCCCATTTTTCCGTTCATTAATTGCAAAGTTGGGTACAAGGCTAATAAATTTGATGAATCTCGGCTGTTTGTACATAGTATTCTCTCCATAAAATGGACTTACAACCGTTGAGATGATGTGCGGTCCATTAAAAAGATATATGAAACCGAAAGATCACACTGAAAGCGCGAGAAGTTGTTCCTGGTTAAATTTAATAGTAGCATACAGGAGGCCAATTTATATTACGAAAACAAGAGCGTTTAGGTATATTTATTTATTTATATAAAATTATTTCTAGTACTACTATTAGCTGAGAAGAAAACTCGATCTGTATTGCTTAATTCGAATATTAAAATATAAATTTGTTTTATGAATCTCTTTTCAAGCAGCTCATTAGTGGTTAGTTAACACAGGTTAAGAATGTCGGAAATCGATTATTTCTTCTATATCAGATGATGTGATTTTAAATATGTGTGTATTTCATTCGATAGGGGTTCATTCGAATCTCTTTAGATAACAAGTCATGGAACAACTGATATACAAGAAGTGCTTTACACTTAAAATAAATTCCATGAGCAGGTTTTGTTACAATTAAAATGATTGTACTATGTAATAAGTCTCTTGCTTGCCTTTCAAATCTTTTCAAATGTAAGCGATACGGGTTTCTGTTTGTTTTTAACACTTTGTCAGCCCCATGCAATCTCAGAGGGACTTTGTGTCGACCGCTAAAGAATGATGAATTACAGAATGTCTGTGAAAGAATTCCGCATCGACTCACATACTCGTACATGTGTACTTAAGATATGTTTCTTGACTGGTTAGCATATCCACTCTCCTTCGAATTCACATTACACCCCATCAACGATATGGAAATCCATTCAGAAATATTTGCGTATGCTTAAGGACCATGATCGATGAGCTGGCGCTATTTTGAATGTATTCATAAAAAAGCGAGGCAAATAAAGACAAATTGTTCGTTTATCTTAAGGATCCAACACGCCCTCCCTCACCAAACCCTCTCCACGATAAGGTTTGGGTGAAAGAGAATTCATTGATGAAGCTCCAATTACGGATACATTTGTCAATACGAGCAATAATTTCGAGGGCTGACAATTTGTCAATGAAATGCTGATTGGTTATCGCCGGAGGCCAACTTACTCGTATCCACTCTTAAGGCCACAGAAGGGAAATGCATACAGATATTGGAGTCACGGCTGCGACTCTGCATCGGACAGCACCCACCTACCATGAGAACGAGTACACCAACAAGGCGCAATACTGGGCTGCGGGGGGAGCGGGACTGGCCGGCAAGTGGATGGATTTGACATTATCTGCAATAAAGATTACAAGTTGACTTCTTGTTTGGCTTTGGCTTTTGAATGCACGTCATAAAAACGTTTTATGATGACGACGGCCACGACGACGCGGCCCCAATCGTCAGCCTCGATTTATGGGGAAAGCCAGGGGTGCAGGTGGCTTTCCGGGCCAACTTAAGTCGGGGCCCGACGCATGCCTTTTGCTTCGGTTGCATGTCTCTCACTCGATTCGCTTCAGAGCTGTGATTATATTATCTTGATTTACGTTTACATTTTATGTGGAATTTTTATGCTCTTTTGTTGCTTCTCGACTCACAAAAATACACAAAGTAAAAGTGCAACGTCATCCAGCCATCAAGCGGACGGGGCGACTACAGCTACGGCAGTAACGGCAGGAGAAAATTCAACAAGTTGAGGGTTTGAGGTCGCCACAGACTATTTTCGGCTTATCTTTTATTTGCATTGAAAAATATTTACACAGACCCAACTGCTGGCAAGAGCTCTCTCGCCACCACAGAGATAAGACAAGAAGACACGCGCAATCTGAACACAATGTCTTGCAGCCGGATGTTTAAAAATATTGATCAGGAACGAACACCGATACGAGTATACGAGTCTGTTCAAAAAAAGTGAAGGTTTTGCTCACTCTTTTCTTTGATTACAAATGGTGCCAATGAGTGCATGATGAGTTCTTGCCAACAGGTCCTACGGCTAATAAGGAATACTACACTATACGGCTCAAACGACCGGAATAGTGGAAAAAAAATCATGGATTCTGCATCACGAAAATGCAACAGCTCCCTGCTATTCCTAAAACTGAAGAGACAAATGAAAGGAAACCGTTTTGCCACAATTGATGAGATAAAGTCAGAATCTAAGAAGGAGCCGAAGTGCTTCGAGGATTGGAAGAAGCGCTGACATAAGTGCATTATATCTGAGTTGCACGAGTTATGAAAAACATGAATTGCGGGAGAGTGGGGGGTATATCAGAAAAAAAAAAACACAAACTTGTACTTTCTCGGACTTAGGATAATCTGGATACCAGGTTTGGTTATTCTTGCTCTTGTACTTGCTGAGAGCTTTGCGTTCATACAGACAGACGGACAGACAACGGACATGGCTATATCGACTCGAATTGTCATCATGATCAATAATATATATACTTTGTGGGATCTGCCACGCCCCCTTCTGTATGTTACATACATTCGCATAAAACTAGTATAACCTTTTACTCTTTGGGTACAAAGGGGAAAATGAAATTAGTTCTTAAAAATAAGTAACTAACATAAAATGTCTGCAACATAAAATAGTCTTTTAGATTCAACTCCAATTTTATGAAATAGGTTAAGTAGGTTAATCAAATTGTCTTAAATTTGTTGAATGAAAATTGTATGTTTCTTGTGACTAGTGCATTAATTAAAAAGCATTTTTTTCTTCTCGCACTAGGAAAAATTAATAATAATAATAATAAATAATAGTACGAACAAAATAATACTTTTCAAACAAATTCACCTTTTCTTTTGAACAGACCACGTATTTATATATTTTGGACTGAATTATTGGTAATATTCAGGCGCATTTGCAAAAGCATTTAGGTGAAAGACGCTTGAGTTGGCTTTGCAGATTTGTGCATTTGACATGTTTATCTAATTTAACATAACTACATAATTAACAAAAATTTAAGGAATACCAGCTCTTTTGAAAGTGCTTGATATTTTGGTGTTTGAAATACAAAGGAATTGGATAGTCGATATCGAATTAATGCAAGTTAGTTTTCATTTTCTTTAGAGCCTCATCGGAACACTCACAGGGTCGCTTAGTGCCACGAGTTAGATTGTCGACATTATCGATAGCGCATACCCTTTGCGCATATAGGGGGCGAATGTCCTTAATTTCGGCCCCGCGACGGCATTGGGGGCATTGCCCTAACTTCCTAATCGACCGGCGAGCACATTCGTCTCCAAAGAGATGTCCGCAGGACAAAGAGACCAAGCGATGGGGGCCGGATATGCCCCACGGGTGAAGGCAAACGGGACAAGTAATGCTGTCGTCGTAGTCCTCCACATCTCCCCCGTCGTTGTCCCACGGTTGCTGATACATCTTACGCAACTCGTCGCGTTGAAGATCCAATTGTTCCTTCATATCAGAGTGATCCTCTTCAAGTTTCTTCAGCGTCTTCTTCAGCTCCATACTTTCCTTGCGAGCCTGGCTCAGCTCATCACTTTCAACCGACGTGTTAGCACCCATAATAATCGATCACTAGTTAGTTATCACTATGGGGAGAATCAAATCCATTATTTATTACATTAAAGACTACCCAACGATTACCAAATATAAATAGTGGGCACACAAATTATAATTTTCGTCAAGCCGATAAAAATTTCTCGTCTTAATACAATACTGAACTGAATGTGCTATTCTGTATGAACCACTGAGCTATAATACCCGATAATAATGTTGAATGTACTATTCTGTATGAACAACTGAGCTATAATGCAAAGCCAACGTAGTTTTCAGAAAAGACTCGCCAACTATATTTGTCCCAAGTATGTTTGTTATAATGGCTCAGAAAAGTTATAACTTTTTTATTTAAATATATATCTCCCATCACATAGGAACTTATAATAAATACAAAATAAATCAAATTTAAATATACCTGTATAAGTATGCTGAGTGTTGGAATGAGTTTGATTATCCGTTCATCTAACTGTGTTTTGAAAAGGCTGCGTTACTTCGGGCTAACTCTGGGCTACCTCTGTCCCTTCCTTTGTCAGAGTATCTGCCAGCTCGTTGTCCTGGGAATCCAATAGATGTAAACTGTTTTCATGGTTCTTAGCTTATCTACCGTGTTGCTGTTTAAGACGTTTTTCGAGCAGATGATGGATCCAACGCGTTGGATTTTAAAGCTACCTGCTGTCCACAGAAATGTTGATGCGGTCTTCTGTAATCGGCAGCTTAATAGCCTCTTCCGCTGTCTTGTTTATGGCGAATACTTCCATCTAGAAAATACTGCAAGAGTTGGGATGGATCTGCGCTCGAGCCCAGTCCTGTGCGTCACTCTTCAGGTTTAATTAAATTTGATGTGTGTTGGAAATTCTACTATGGGGCAGTATAGCCGTCATGTTATTTCCATTAATTTAAGGTATGTAGTATATAGTATTTCTAACTAAGTACTTATATCGAATGTTCCCCCGAACTCGCTTTGGCATAGGACTGTTAATTAAGTTCCATAGGTGGGCTTAAGCCTTCCCTTACGTGTAGCTTCAGAAGGCTATCTGGCGTTTTGAGCAGGATGAGCTGAGACATATTGTTAAGTACTTAAACAAATATTATTAAAATTAAACAAATTTATTTATTAATTAGTATAATCAATAGTATTATTATTTGTCTTTCTAGATGGCACTATAAGCAAAAAAGCAGATTTGCAATCGTTTCCAAGCGTTCTAAAACACCAAATGAGTTGTCAAGTAGTTGTTTAAATTGTTTAACTTCTTTCAGCTTTTATCCAAAAATGTACAAATTCCCAAGTAAATCAAGTAAAAAATCAAATCAATTCCTGTCTCAAGGCACTTAAAACCGTGTGTCTCTGTGTGTGTGTGTGTGTGCCTGGCATATGGGTGGGGTTAAGCTAAGCTCCTGTTGTGTATATTAAGGATAATAACTTCACTTAGACTTCAAAAGATGTGAGCACGCCTACGCCTGAAGAGGCGCCCCAGCCCAGTTAACCCGCCCAGCTACCAGAAGCGGTGTGCCACTTACCAGTTACCGGTTACCAGTTGCCAGCTAGTACGGGTAGGCCTGTAATGCCAATGTGACGCACTTCACTTAATATAAAGCAATTTTCCTCTCAAATTCACTTCAATAACCAATTTTTCCATGCACACTCACTCGCACGCTCATGGACATGTCGCATTCAAAAATATCAAAAGCAAACTGAAAACAGAAAACGCGACTCTTCTAAGCGCCCGGAAAAGACTTGGTCGCAGAACCTCTTACCTATACAAGTACATATGAGCTCTACAGAAATGATTCATTTACTTATAGTAGATGGGATACACCCTTTCGCTCCTGTACCCTGAAATACTCGCCCGCACCCAGCAGCTTATTCAGACAACAATGACAGCATTCGGCATGACGGACGGTCTATAAGCATCGACTGACTGACGGACTGACTGACTGACAGGCTTACTGACTGACTAACTGTTTTCTCATTTTTGTTTCTGGCGGTGGTTGGGCTCTCCATCTCCGCATAGGCCACAGCATAGAACGCTGAAAACTATCTTAAATTGTCAACTGTAAAAATAAGGCATGATTCACACGCTGGCGGCACGTTGACTGACGTTAACGTCTCTTCTCGTTTCTTCTCCTTTCTTCACGTCTCTTCACTCTTCTCTTCTCATCTCGCATATAGAGGCGGCAAATTCGTTGTAATCACAAATTGACAGACGTCAAAGGATGAGGACGAGAACGGGAACGAAAACGAGGCGGCCCAGCCAGGGTAGTGGGGCAGCTTAAATAATGGCAACATGCGTCAGCGGCATGACAGCCACAAAGCATCACCATGGGCGTGGGCGCATTGGCTCGGTCAGGAGCAGGGATGGTGCTGCTGGTGATGACATGGACAGCTTCTTGGCCTCGACAACAACGACAAGGATATACTGCCCCATCTGCACCCCTCGGCGTGTCCTTAAAGCTGCTCTTGTTGCTCTTTGTTGCTTGTCTGTCTCGAGTGGAAAGCTGCGCGTACGCTTAACACGCACCACACTCACACACATATACACCCAAACACACCCATACACACCCGATACATACATACGCGTCCACACTTACCCACACACAGAGAGGCGAAACGAAAAAACTTGACCCAATTCCTGTGCCTGCTTCTCGGCGCGTGTGTTTGTGTTTTCACTCGCTGGTGAAAAATGGCGTTTATGAAGCGCTTATTGTGTTTGCATTGTGGCGCGCGCTTGTCCCGCGCCTCCGCTTGCGCTTTCGCCCGCTTCCGTTTCCGCACTCGAATGGCGCACGCCACAATGGCCCGCAACGGAGCCCCCTCACCCCGCTTGCATTCACGTCCGAGAGCGCTGTTGTTTGCTGTGCGTCGCTGCCTTTGTCCAGCATGTCGCACGCGCCTCTGCCGACTCGCCTGTCCTCGTGTTTTTCTACTCTCCACTCGAATACCCTGAGTCCGAAAAAATTATAGAAAAGGGACATCAATTTTGTGAAAGTGTCTGCCACAGGGACAGACATAAAGGGAAGGGACGCCATCTTTAACAACAAACATGCTGAGGTCCTGATCTCTTCAAAGCACCAGCTTAATTAATAAATATAATAGTTTAAAAATTATGAAATGTGTAGATGGTTGGCATGCATTATATGCAATCGATTTAGGAAAGTATTGTTTAAATTATCTGTCGGATTTTCCATTTTTTCACCTTAAGCAAATTAAATGTTACTTCACTTTCGAATTAACTGCCAATACATACATACATTAATTAAGTACATATATAATATTACTCTATTATTGGTATATGGATTAGCCATGACTGCCTTTGAAAAGCTCGGCTAGAATATTTGAATACCATCATTTTATTTTATTTATTTTAATTTCTTAGTTTAACTACAGTTTTAAATCTACAGTTTTAAATCTAATAAGGATCTTTGCGTCATTAAAGGATTTTATTTCTCTCAGTGAGGATCTTTGAGCCTCCTCAGAATGGCAATAAAATATTCCCAAAATGGGTAAGCAACGTCTATATAAATAATGTTTCTTAAAACATTTCATTTTCAATACAATTATTATTATCATTAAAATAGGGGCTGCCATTATTCATGTTCTACAAATCCTTCGTTTGTTTGCCAACATAGTGACTCATTGGAATAAAGAAGGGTATTCCGCAGCTGAATGTGTCCAACCAAAGCATGTGTCATTGTTTTTTTCTTTCTGTATTCTTGTCAGTCAGACGTTTTGCTTCTGCCACCCTCCCCAGCCCATCAACGTCCGAGAACACTTTTACGCATTTATTGGCAAAGGTATGGGTATGTGGGTGAGGGTAAGGGTGTGGGTATGTGTGCGTGTGTGTGTGTGTGTGTGTGTGTGCGTGCGACGCATGCCGTCACTTAGACCGAGTGGCGCTGCCGACCGACACCACTGGCCATGGATAGGGAAGCTTTGGGCTGGCCACTTTGACAGCAACGGGAAACGGAAGCGGAAATTTCATGCCCATACGTTTTCATTTTTCGTGTTGACGACTGCCGGAGACATGTGTGCGGTCATATAGGGCCCACAGCCCGTGCAGCCCACACACCCCACAGGGCACTACATAGTAGTACATAAATAAAACCCCCAACAACAGCAACAGGAAAAAGCCGGACTTTGGCACGCTCTCGCCAGACAAGAAGTCAAGCCGAAGTCACTTGAAAATTCCTTTAAAATTTTACAACTTTTGTTTCAATCCATTGGTTGATTTGTGGGTTATCTCTGCCCGCTGGCAGCATCAGCACCCGCTTCAAGGGTTTGGTTTGTCTAGTGCCGTAGAAAGCCATAATACCTATGCATTGGCGCTACACCACATGCGGGCCATTTCGATTTCGTTGCTGGATTTGCGAGCTCAAGTCAGTGAACTAATACTTGTATTGGAATATTGGCGATCCAAGTGATGTGGGCTTCTAGAGTCAAAACAATCTTATCGAACAGCATTTCTTAACTTGACTACATAATAATCTTTTTTACGTTAATCAACTTTTCCTGATATGAACAGATATAGAATGGAATTAAGTGTGGGGAGTAAAACAAACACTAGGTCTTAGTGAAAATTTGATTTTCAACTAAAACGTTCGTTGGACATTTTTTATCCTGATATGAGGGCAGCAGTTGTGGAAGACAAGGTTTTGGAAAACTAAACAAAAATCCACTTGAGAGCTATGGAAGAAACCTGTGCCTCAAATCGTAGCACAACGGTAATACTCTGAGGTGGTTACCACATCGTAACTCCTATTCCTCAAATTCAATTGAATACAATTCAAGCTTGTCAGATATCTTTTTAAATTACGCTATTGCCACTTGATATGTGCGGCACGTTTACTGCCGACCAAGCAGGGACATGCACAGTTCCACACAGCTGAATGCTCCAATTCGAAGCCGTTTTTATTTTTAATAAAATGTAAATTATGCGTCCTTGTTTGATAAATGTCCATTGGAAAAAGTTTTAGTTCGATCTGCTGGTTTTTTTTTTGCATTTTGGTTTCATTTTTGTGGGTTTTCGAGCGCTCCAATATTTTATTCATAGTTGACACGAAATGCGTAACAAATCGTTTTCAAGTTGAAGCTGTTGCGGCGGCATAAAATTTATAGTTTTTCCCTTCGAACACGTTGAAGGGATGTTGTTGCCGATGCCGATATCGATGCCGAAGCCGA